GGGTTTTCAAATCATTGGATGTGTAAAGCAACAAGGAACTTTCAGAATGTGTGTTTTCTCTTAATACCATATAGTAATCCTAACAGTGCTCCCTTGGGACTCACTTAACCAGGCAAAGGCACACATGTTGAATTTCATGCACATTGAATTTAGATGCGTTTTGAGGCTCTTATGAAAATATATACAAATTATATCTATATATCTATCTGTTATAGCACAGTTGACATGCAAATGACATTCATGTTTTAGCCCAAAATCTGCCTTCCCCAAGAAGTCTTCCCTGAACTCTTCCTACAACACTAACCAGTCTCTCTTTGTGCAGCCCTGTTATGCAATCAGTCTCCCTAAGTGTCCTCCACTTTCCTGGATAGGCATCTGTGTACAACTTCTCTCTTCTGCCAGTTTATACACTGATGTCTCTTCACTCATTGGCTTATTTTTTTAGAGAGAGAGAGAGAGAGAGAGAGAGAGAGAGGGTGAGAGCAGGGGAGAGGAGCAGAAGGAGAGAAAGAGAGAATCTTAAGCAGATTCCACACTCAGTGTGGGGTCCGATGTGGGGCTCAAACCCATGACTCTGGGATCACGACCTGAACTGAAATCAAGAGTCAGATGCTCAACTGACTGAGCCACCAGGTGCCCATACTCATGGACTTATTGAGGACCTTTATGTGCCAGGTACTGTGCTAGGTGCTAAGGTCAGAATAATAAATGACACAGATGTCTATCCTCAGAGTCTGGTGGAGGGAGAGAAAGACACGGATCAGATATGACAATACAGTGGCAAGTACTACTACAGTGACATGAACAAAGTAGTTTGAGGACAAAGACAAGGAACTAACCACTGGGGGGATTTGAAAGTCTTCATGGAAAGGGGAGTTATTTGAATAGTCTGTAATATCTCATCCAAATACCATCACATTTTTTTGGTATATCAACCAGGAATAGTCATAAAATAACACCAACACATTACTAGTATGTATACTATTCCATTTGATCCACACAACCAGCTCTGAAATATGGGTGTTAACATTGCTCTATTTTTACAGATGGAAAAATTGAGCTCCATAATCTTTGGCTCTCTCAGGGTCACTATGTGAGTGAATGGATTTAAGCGAAAGTCTTTGGGTTCAAAAGTATGTGAGTTTTCCACCCCTACCCCCTCTTGGCCTAGCTTCTTGGGGACTGGCCTTTCATGCCAGCAGTTTATCTGGTTTTGATTTGCCATCTCCCTCAAATGCTGTCTTTCACCTCTATCCCTAAGCTCTGTATAGTGCAGCTTCAGGAAGGAGATGCCTCATATCCCCCTAATGGCTGATATAAATTCCCACAATATCAGAACCCTGGAGCCTGGTTATCTGAGAGAAGGCATCAGATGGCATATTTTAAAAACTATTGACTCCACCAGTTAAACTGTTAGGGATTTAAATTTCCCATTATAATTCTCCCAAAATCTATCCTATTAGAATGATGAAGACATTACTAAAAGTGGTGTTAAATATGCAAGATCCAAAAACACATATAAACCAAGAATAGATTGATCCAAAGGAGGCCAAATACATTCCGAGGACAGCATACCTACCTACTTTCAAAAAGCAAAGAAGAGTCATCTATAACTCAGAAAAAATAAGCAACAATATAATCCTTAACCTTGTTAACAGGGCGGGGGTGTAGGGGGCAAGCACAAACTAAAATGACACAGGGTATTTCACTAGTTTTTTTTTTTAAATAGATGAAGCATATTGCAAAATTGGGATTAACCATTTAATTACAAATACGTTAAAAAAAATAAATATTTCTCAGAATTTGCCAAGATGTTGACAGTGAATATAGTTAGGTAATGGTCATTTTTCTCTATTCCCTGAAACTTTAAAGTGCATGTATTATTTCCACCAAGAAAGAGAAGGTGGGGGTATTCAGGAAAAAGAAGGAGGTATTTAAGTATCCTAAGCAACATTAAAGAGGAAGGGATGGAACAAGAAACATATAAGCCATATAAAGACCAAGAGAATATCGTAAGAAAACAAGTCCTTGATCTTTGTGCCAAGATTAAGGCCATCTGGTGAGTCCTATGGAGCCCTTCTCAGAATAAAGTTCTGAGTATACAAAATAAATGCATATGCTTACAAAAGAAACAAATTATATTGAAATAAAGCTAACAAAATGTTAAAGCACACAAATTCGAGACTAAGTGATATGTGTGCTTCCTTATTGATGCCTGAAATAGTAAGTGGTGGGCCTAATAATAAATAAGTCATAATAAATAGTATAATAATAATAAATAAGCACAAATGATATTTCAGCATATCTTCCACAACTGTAGTAGAATATGAAAGCTGATACTACTATGGTTTGTTATTCACATTCATCACCAAAAGACATCCCGAATTTCAGTTAGCAATAAGTGAAAATAATAGTGCTGTTCTTTTTCATCCACACTCATGAACAAAGGTTGGAACCTCGGTTTCAGAAACTCTATAGAAAGACCGTATTTCAGGATAATGCCATTTTAGCTAGACAAGAGAACTAACATTTGTTAAGTGCCTACTATGTACCATGAACGGTAATATAAAACATCATGTTCGTTATAAACCCACTTTTCCGTTTACCCTCCCTAGAGGACATTGAGAGTGATAATAAGATAAGGTTGGGAAAAGAGGCTCCTCTGTTGAATTGAGGCCATATTAATAACATTAAATAACAGCCCAAACAGCTATCCTCTGTCAAGGTTAAATTCTACTAAACAATTCACTCCTAAATTCCTATGGTTGACTACCATCAGAATCCAAAAGTCGCAATCAAGAATTCCAAGTTTATGATCTTTCTTCAAGCCCTAATTGTCTATGTCTTAAAAGCTAGAGACATTGGGGCGCCTGGGTGGCGCAGTGGGTTAAGCGTCCGACTTCAGCCAGGTCACGATCTCTCGGTCCGTAAGTTCGAGCCCCGCGTCGGGCTCTGGGCTGATGGCTCAGAGCCTGGAGCCTGTTTCCGATTCTGTGTCTCCCTCTCTCTGCCCCTCCCCCGTTCATGCTCTGTCTCTCTCTGTCCCAAAAATAAATAAAAACATTGAAAAAAAAAAAAAAAGCTAGAGACATTGAACAGGTGCTTGGCACACAAAACAGAGGGCCGATAACAAGGGCAGTTGCCCCACCAAAAACCCACAGTGGGAAGGACAGCAAGGCTTCTGTATAGGATGGGGAGGGAGGGAGGGAGGAACCTGGTGCTCTGAGAAGTGAGGTGGGGGAACACCTCACCTCTCAGTGTTATATTCTCCAAGAGATGCTCTGGGTGGAAAAGAAAGACCCTAAATTCAACAGACTTTACAGAGCATTGACCTTCTGCCCAGCAATGATCCATCAAAGACTACAGGATCTCCTTTCTTCCCCAGGGAGCCCTACTGTGCTGCAGAAAGTCCTGCATACAACTGGCTTTACAATGGACTTGAGCTGAGGCTCTGCCGGTAGAGTCTGGATTTTCTGTTATTTGGGCCTTTTCCCTAGGTCATATCAAGATACTTAAATAAGAGACCATCTTGTGAAATGTCTTCAATCTAAAAGCAAATGTTTAAATTGCGAGATCAGAGGAAACCAAAGGCTCAAGAAACTAAATCAAACATGCAAATTCAACTTAAATACAGCAAAGAAAGCAACTGGTTACAGATGGCCACGTGGACAAATGGAGTCTAGTTGTCTATCTGGTCACTTTACTTATTTACTTATTTACAGGGCCATCTTGATGCACGACAGGCCTTCCTGAAGACTCTGTGTATCTGCAGGTAAATCTAGCACAGGAAATGGCATAAGAGTAGGAAGCTCAACAAATATTTGCTGAATCCAAATTGATTTTCCTAAGAGCTGACTCCTCTCCCTCTTACCCAGCAGTAATGTATCCTGAGGTTTTTTCAGCTCTCTTGCAGTCAGGCTTAGCCTGAGGCTACAGAGAGAACAAGGTCAAGGTTAATTAGGAACAGCCAAAATTCCCATAATGACAGGATTCAGGACTTCTAAGGACAAATCCTCAGAGTTCATGTACTCTAAAGTTCTTATTCCATGGAAGAGGGAGCAGGAGCCTCAGGGGACACCCAAGGACTTGTCCACTGGCTTACAGTGGGGGTGGGGGATTTAATCAGTGACCACATGCAGGCTTCTTCGGAAATTTGAATTCCATTCGGAAGTGTGGAATATTTACCTGAATATTCAGATAAGAGCAAGTCAGGAAACAATTCTGCAACTGCAGTTTCTTTGAATGCACCGTGAGTTCTTTCTCACAGTTCTGCACTCCCTTCTCCTACTGGTTTGGCAGGAAAAAAAGCACACAGACAGTGACAGTAATAATTATTTGGGCAACTAGCAGGAAGTGTCCCCCTAGAAGGCACCGGGACACAAGCTGCAGGGACGAGAGACATAGATCCTGTCTAGCCAAGATTACTGTTGGATCAACAGCATTGTTAGTGGGAGTCCATGAAAGAAGCTGCCCAGTATGACACTGGTGTTTCATGTCTCAGATGGCCCCATGCACTTCTAAAGAAGCTAGATCCAGAGGGAAAGAGAGAGGCTGGCCCAGCCTGGGCAAGAGGGAGGGTGAGACCAAGGAGCAAGCTCTGTTTGTGGGAGGGACTCGCAGCAGCCAGGCCCTGCACAGGCCCTCGAGGCTGTAACCAAAAGAAAAGTCAGACCTTGCCCCCAAGAGGACCCCTGCAGACATCAGTGCTGACCCTACAATAACAATGCTACCACATACAGCTGTCCCCCACTAATCTGAAGGGGACACGTTCCAGGATCCCCAGGGATGCTTGAAATCGCGAATAGTACCAAATTCTATGCATACTATGCTTTTTCCTATGCATACACACCTATGGTAATGCTTAATTTATAATACGGAACAGTAAGAGATGAATAACAATAACCAATAATAAATAGAACAATTATAACAATATACCGTAACATAACTTAGATGAATGAGGTCTCTGTCTCCCTCAAAATACCACATTGTACCTTACTCACCATTCCGATGATGCTGATGCTGATGATTTGAGATAACAAATGCCCACGTGATGAGATGAGGTGAGGTAAGTGACGCAGGCACTGTGACGTGGCATTAGGCACGTCCCCAGTCCCTGCTCCAGGCCCAGTGAGTCAGAATCTGGGCAGGGGCCCAGCAGTCTGTGTTTTATCCAGCGTGGGTTAGATACTGCTCTAGTTGATGGAGACACCCAAAGGACACTGCCTCAGTGGGCCCAGAAAGTGAGGAAGGGACCAGAAATTTGGGCAGTGGTCGTCCCTGCTGGAGGAGGACATGAACAGCATTAAGAAGCCAGAGGAGCAGGGTACCTGGGTGGCTCAGTCAGTTGAGCATCCGACTCTTGATTTCGGCTGAGGTCATGATCTCAGGGTGGTGAGTTCAAGCCCCGCGTTGGGCTCCATGCTGAGTGTGGAGCCTAATTGAGATTGAGGAACAAGTCATGGTAACAGAGGAAGTGAGAGCACAGGAGACAGAAGCACAAGGAAATTCATAGGGTCTTTGGGTCCCAGGTTGTTTGGAATGAAGTGCTGTTGGGGGAGGTGGGAAGGAGAAGAAATAGGCTCATGTGTGGGGCCTCCCCATTCCTTCTTTCCCTCCTGCGGGCTCACCAGACCCTTCTTCAATTTCCTCCCTGGGCAGTTCTAGATGACCATGGGGAGCACAGAGATAGGACCAAGTGTCCAGGTCTACAGTCATCCCAGGAAGCCTGCAGTCAGTGGACCCTCAGGAGACAAGCCGGTTCTGGAGATGAACACTTGGGAATCACTAGAGGTTTGATGGTTACCAAGACTGAGCTCTGGAGCACCTGCCTGGACTCATGATTTCCATCCTACATGCGCCAACCATGTGACCGCGGGCAAACTTCTCAGTCTCTGTTGCCTCGTGTACAGTGGAGATGGCAAGAACAGAACATACATTTTAGGATTGTGATGAGGACAAAAAGAAGTAAATGTAAAGCCTTTAGAATAGGCCCTGCATGGTGGTCTTAGCATCAATTATGAGCGACTATTAACAGTATTATTTCCTTTTCATTATCCCTGAATGTGGTGAGATTTGAAGGAATGGATCAGGTCCTCTGAGATGAGAGGACCAATGGGCTCTTTTACTCTTTCTGCTTCAGCAGCGTTAACTCAGGCCCTGACCTCTGGGGCCCTGCATTGCTCTCCTCCTTCTAGCCTGCACCTCTTCTTCCCTCCCTGCCCCCCCCCCCATCATTGTCTTCTCAGCTGGACTCAGTTGCAACCACCCAGGATATCAGGACATATTCGATGGGTGGCTGAGCTTGAAGACAAATCTCCAGGAGGAGAAAAATTTCTTTAATCCATATTGGGGCTGATCACCTACTGGGCACAAAAGCCTGGGAGACAGAGTCCCTGGCCTCCAGGACCCCCCCTGGCTGGAGGTAGAAGGTGGTGTATACATGCACCATATGAGTACTAAGTGAAAAAAGCCAGGAACGGGAGTCAGAGCACAGGAAGAGGCCCAAAGGAGAAAACTTTATCTCTGACTAGAACCCTCCCCCCACAGCCCACTTACCAATTTGTGTTCTCACTCTGGAATTATCAAAGCATAAGAAATCTGCTATTGAAAAAGAAAATGCCAAGATCGGGCAGAATCCTTTTTTTTTTTTTTTTTTTTTTTTTTTAATGTCCCATCTTTTCTAATCTGGGTTTCAGAGGCAGGGCCCGCTGGCAGGAGGAGAAAAAAGCACAACCCCGCTCTGACAGGCAGTTCTCCTAGAGCATGACGGGGAAACAGAAAATAGCCCACAAACAAGGCAACATGGGGCAGAACCGCAGCCGGCGCCTCCAGCGGCTTGACTGATTGCACTTCTGGTTTCAACCCTGATCAGTTGGATGGGTGGATGGACTAAAATAGAATCCCAGAATGGGTTCTGAGAACTAAATAGAGAGAGAAAGGCCCAGAGGCACAGACAGGACCCCCCCCCCCCCGAGATACAGAGGTTGTGGGGAGAGGAGGAGAAACAGTGAGAAGAAGAGAAAAAAGACCCCAAATGGGAAAACAGCCAAGGAGGAAGGGCCTGGGAGAGTGGCAAATGATGGAGAGAGCTCATAACTTCCTTCTCAGCCTGTCTGAAGGAGCAGAGAAATTGGATCACGAAACTGGTGCAAGAAGCTAGAAGACGGGCCGGGAGAAGACAGTGTGTCTGATGACCCAGCCTTAGGCTTGGAATTAGATGATGATTCTCCCCAACACAGCACCGAGGTGAGTGCCCCTCTGATTAGGAAAGAGTGTGTTCTAACATCCCCGCAGGGCAAAGGCTGTACTTTTTTGTTCTCTTTCCAACCCTGAGAAAGGATCCTGTCTCCCCAGAGGTCCCATTCACTGAGACGCGTCTGGGCAAACCAGAGGCTTCAACAGCATGTCCTAACAGCACCGGCTTTTGGGTAGGACGAATAATGAAACACCTTATTGGCAAAACAAATATCAAAGTGCAAAAGGACTGCTCAGGCAGAAAATGGAGGGAAATCTCTTCCTTCTGTACCCGACCCACACGCAAAGTCTTTTCCAAACTGGGTGCTCTTTTGGTGTTGAGCTTTTTGGGTGTTTTGTTTTGTTTCGTTTTTGTCTTTTTGTTTCTGTTTAGAGTTTAATATAAGTTGGTTGTTGCATTTTATGTGAGACGTATGGTCCTATTATGAATATAGAGTAGCTAGTGATTGTGTCCTCAGACCATCAAAAGGGACTCCCCTTCTTCATTCCATTTATCTCAAAAAATGAAGTTTCTTTTTTATTTAAAAAGTAATAAGGGGTGCCTGGGTGGCTCAGTCAGTTAAGCGACTGACTTTTGATTTCGGCTCAGGTCATGATTTCAGTTTGTGAGTTTAAGCCCCACGTCAGGCTCCACACTATGACAGTGTGGAGTCTGCCTGGGATTTTCCCTCTCTTTCCCTCTCCCTCTCTCTCTCTGCCCCTCCCGTGTGCTTTCCTCTCTCAAAATAAATAAATAAACTTTAAAAAAATTAAGTAATAAATACACACTGTACTGGAACAAAAAACAAAAGAGGAACTAACCCTAGTCCCACAACTCACAGAAAATTATTTATATCTTTTTATAATTCTTCCCAGTCCTTTTGTCCCTACATACGTACTCTTCCATTTTTAAATTTCTTTCCTGAAAAACTATCAGAGTACAGCTACTTGCAATTCTTTTTAAAAGGATGTAGTAGATGGATGCTATTTTTGGCTGCCGAACATCTGTTTTGCCTTCCTTTGATAACTGTGCCCATATCTTTTGGGTATTACTTTTCCACTGACTATACCTGGTGGGAATGTCACTTGGAATGTCCTGTGTGCCCCTAACCATGAGGAGGGAATCTGACCCAAGTTAGGCCAATCAGATGCTGCCTTGCTGAAATTTGAACCTTGACTAAAGTGGGGGGGGGGGGGAATGAAAAAGGTTGAAACTCACGCATCACAGTGCAATTTCCAAATAAGACTTTTTCTGTTGTTCTTGCCACTTCTATACCTCAAGCCCCTTCTCCAAACTTCTAGTCAATGCTAGGACTAGAAGGGCATGACCCCGTGCCCTTTCAGCAAATTTACTTTTTGCTTCAAGCAAGAAGAATCCATTTCTGCTGTTTGCAACCAAAGAACCCCCTGTGAAAATGTGGCCAAAAAGAGCATAGGAACCAGGATACAAGGAAAAATCTGCCAACTGCCCTGCTATCACTAAGCGAGCATTGCTATCCTCCCAGGATACCACATCCTTGTTCACCAAGTTCCTTTAATTTAGTCACAGAACCAGTCTCTTATGCCAGGACGCTGATACAGTAAATTGGTTGTCCTAAAGGCCTTGATTTTTCACACCTCCATGTAAGCATGCCACTGGCAATGTGACATTTTAGCACCTCCTCTAAGGAGAGAGAGTCTATTTCCCCATGCTTGAATTAGGCTGGCCTTGAGACTTGCTTTGGCCAATAAAATGCAGCAGAAATGAAGATGGGGACATCTGGGTGGCTCAGTCAGTTAAGTGTCCAACTCCTGATTTGGGCTCAGGTCATGACCTCATGTTGGTGAGTCTGAACCCTGTGTCAGGCTCTGTGCTGACAATGTGGAGCCTGCTTGGGTTTCTCTCTCTCCCTCTCTCTCTCTCTCTTTGTCCCTCCACCCACTCATGCTCTGTCTCTCAAAATAAATAAATACACATTTAAAAAAACAAATTAATATGTGCCCATTCTGAGCCTGGGCCCCAAGTTCTTGGGTGCTTCTACTCAACTCTCTTGAATCCCAGTCTGCTCTACAAGAACACATCTAAGGTTGTCTGTTCGATTGGAGAACTACATGAATCAGACAAGACATATCCTGACGCCATGCTAGACCAAACAACCCCTGGCTAAACTTCCTGTGACTGCAGATCCAAGGAGTGAGTCCAGCCAAGATCAACTAGGTCCCTCCCATAGCAGCAGGACGACCCAGGTGGCCTGTAGACTTCTGAGAAAAATACATGCAATATTACTGTGTTTAAAAAAAAATAGAGATGGTGAGAGATGTCATATTATCTGAACAAAATAAGAAGGGAATATGTTATGAAAAATACCATTTAATTACTTATGGGACAAAATACCATCAGTTGAAACTCTCCCAGAAATGCCATAAAATACAGGATAGTCCTAACTAACATCTCAATTGATTTAGCAGCGTTGATAAGAACATGAGTCCAGAGAGCCTGATTTAAATCCTCATTCTGCCACATACTGGCCATGTGACACTGAGCAAATGTGCCACGGTTTCCTCTACTATAAAAAGATGAAAAGAATAGAACCGACCCCAAGGGTTAGATGACATGTAAAGCGTTTAAACAGAAATTACTCCGTATGATGTTAGCCATTATAAATATTATTCTTCCATGACAATTTGCTGTTCAGAGTCAGGAAGCTTGAAAAACATCACAGTCTTTTATTTCCTTTACTCCGTTTGATTATCTTTACATTCTACTGGGAATAGTAGATATTACTTAATATACTACTGATACAGTTGGGCTTGATCCTACCTATTGTTACTTTTTTTCTATTTCTTTTGAATTCCTGCCTCTTTTTTGGATATTGTAAGTACTCAATTTCCTTCTTTATTAAATGTATTTTTACATACACGATTTATAATATATCTTTTAAATATATCTAATTTGTATACATAATTTATAATCTATATCATACGCATAAAATTTCCAGCATACATAGCACCATTCTTTCAGGGGTTAATCTAAAGACTACTGCACACATCCTTAACTTGTTGAAGCCTAACTAAATGAACATGTCACCAGTGGACAATACCAGGAACGTAAACCCCTTTTACCTTGGCTCCTGTCCCCCCCACCCCCCCCACACACCTTATGTTCAGTTATTGGTGTGTATTTGAAGCTCTGGGTAGCGTTGTCCTCCTCCAGGGAGGATTCATATTGGCTTCCATCAGGAACCTAGGCTGAAAATCCAACCAGAGACTCTCGGAGGCCCAGCTGTGCTCAGTCTTCAGTCTTTATGAGGACTGGTTTGTTTCTAGTTCTTCTTTACTTCTAGCAAGGGCTTCTTCCTGGGGCTTCCCCACCTCAGCACTATTTTAGACCAGATCTTTCTTTGTTGTGGGATTCTACCCACTAGAAGCAAGTAGCATTCTTTCAGTCGTGACAACCAAAAACATCTCCAAACATAGTCTAATGCCCCCTGAAGGAGCAAAAGTGCCCCCATTGAGAGCCATTGTCCTAGGATGTAACCCTACAGGATCCCCACCAAAAGTCCCAGCCCCTGAGACTTTCAAAGTCCACTCACTTCTCTGCCCGTTTGTTGCCTCTCTGGGATGAGGAAGAAAGCTGCTCTCAACAGGTCTCTTACCTCTCCTGGCCCTCCTCTCACAAACCCTGGACCCACACTTTCTCCCTCCCTGAGAGTTCCTCCAGGACCTTTTTACAGGTATTTGTTTGCTTTTCTAGTTCTCAGCCCAAACAGCGTGTCTAAAATGACTTATTTCATCACTGTAGATCTGAAGAATTATAATCAGTTGGAAGCAAAATCTTAAATAATTTCAGTTGAATATAGATACATAGAACTGAATGTTCTCTTCAAAGCTCTCTAGTACAGGCT